TCCTGCTGATTCTATACACGAAAAGAAAACAAACTGTAATCCTATCTGGAGTCCAGCACTCTATTTATTTCACCTGGTGAAAAGACCTTGCCAAAGCCTCCAAGCTGACAACCAGTGCTTGCCCAGCGAGGGAGCTGGGCCACAAATATGTTCTGCATTAGAGAGAATTGGATATTAAAATATAATGCAATCTTCTGAGGACATATTTGCACTCTTACTGTGCAAGACATTCTTCCAGGTTCCTCTCCTGTTTCACTGGGTGATTTGGAACATGCTTGCTGCTGTTCCTTAATCTTAAGTAATCCAGTTATACAAGCTATAATCGACAGATTACAGGAGGGGAAAGTGCACAAATCCCCCAGCCAGGGCAGCAATCACTCTTGGCACGCTGGCTTAAAACCGCGGGGCTTCCGGTAATGTGGCTCTTTTCTTTCAATTGCTCAGTGAGAGGGTTCCCGGCCTTCCCCTTGGCTTTCTTGCTTCCTTCCTCTCTAATTTCTATGATGCTCTGATTGTGTAGTAACAGCCCCAGGCTCTGGACTTTGCTAGCATCCAGGCGGAGCTCCCCACCCCGCCCAGCAGTTGCCCTTCCTACGGTACAGTAGGTTACCTCTATCTGCTCCCAGTGGTTTCATTCCAAGGCTGTTTCACAGATCAGCAAACTAAGGAGGAGAGTGTCTCTGTTGTCTAATGCTGGAGAGCTGTGTGCCACCCAATGGTACAGACAGTGAATTAAGCCCAGGATTGCCAACTCCAATTGCCAATACATATCAACTGCAATTATAGAACAATCCAACCGGCAGCTGCTATTGTTGCCTGTAGAGTGGAGTGAATAAAACCAGATAGTTGTCCCCAAACACCCTTGGCTGAGGTATGACCGGAGAGTGGAGCAGACCCCTCACTGACTGAGCAGAGCCCAGCAGAGAAACGAGAATGGTATCTCCATGGAGGAGAGGGGGCTGAGAGGAGATGCAAGGCGTTTCCTGCTCTTGCCTTCTCTGTCCTGTGCATCACTGCCTGCATTAGCCTGCACAACCTAATGATGAGGATTTGCTTTGTTAGCTCCCGGTGCAGGCCCTGGTGGAGAGAGTGAACACTTGGGTCAGGAGGTGACGAATACCTGCAGTGCCTGGGCAGGCTGCCCGACAGCTGCTGTGCCAGGTAGAGGTGGAAGGAGTCACTTGGGTTACTGTGGTTCTGAAGGGCAGCAAGGAGTCAAGCATTGCCACAACTGTGCACTACCTTAGTAGCTATGGTTCAGGGACCATGCTGGCTAGCTCTGGGGACCATTTCCTCGCTCCAGCTAGCACCGCATTGGTCAACTCTGGGTTGAGTGGGGAGCCAACTGTTGATCTTCCAGCATAGGCAGCCACCGGAGGCAGCACTTTCTGGGCAGGTGGATAAGAGACAGAGCTGAATGTCATCAGTGGTCACTGTGGAAGTGGGACTGAGGCCGTGGGATGCTGCACGTCAGAACTCCTGGTGGGTCAGGAGGTGCCGGTTCTCCTGGGGAATCAGAGGAAAGGGACAAGCATTAAACAGTGGGTGTGAGCCCAGCAGCTCCTCCCATGGCAAATGGAGGAGTGAGCAGTGTATGTAATTGACACATGGGCTGCTGGCACAACAAGGGTTGTGTGTCTGTTGTAGTTGCCCTTCCTGTAGCTCCCAGTAGTTCTGCCCCAGGCCAGAGGTTCTGACTGAGGCCAGACTGGTGCTTTTGGCTTCTCCTCCTGTCCCTGCATGGGTTCAAGTGAAATGGCATTTGGAGTTATTCAGCCTTCAACGTGACGTTGTTGGCAATTCCAAAAAATTGCTGAGGACTGAAGTAAAACAGATTTTTTTGTAAAAAAAAAAAAGTTTTTGGTGAATAAAAAAGTAAAAAAGAAAAATCATTTCAGGTGACGTGGAATGGTTTATTCAACCCGAACAAAACATTTCGCTTGGGTTTTGAGCCTTTTTGTAACCTTTCAAAATTTCAAAGTTTTCTTTAGTTTTATTTAAAAACAATTGAAAAGTCATTTTGAACTTAAAAAAATGAAACATTTCAATTACAAATATTGAGACAAAACATTTGGATTTTTTTTCTGAATTTTATTTTTTGGCCAAAAAAAAAAAAAAAAAAAAAAGTCAGCAAAATCAATACATTTCAAGTTACTGTTGGAGAGGGTCTCCCATTGGCTCTTCCATCTTCCTGTTCCATTGGCTAAGTTCACCCTGGTTCATGGGCCTGGTGGCTGGGCGAGCTTGTGATCCTGAAGCTAATAATGATGACCTGCCCACTGTGGTGCTGTGTGGATGACTTAGCGGCTGTTAAAAATGTTACGAATTGATGCCTAGATAGTGCATGATGTGCTCACCAGACAGACACACTCCCACATTCTCAGACATCCGGCCAAGACCTGTGTGGGAGCTCCCCTCGGCCGGTTGCCAGAGTTAGCTTCGGGGGTTCTGAGACTCTACTGTAGCACTGGGACCAAACCCTTCTCCGCAGCCTCACTGCTAAATCCCCCTGTACAGGTTACACCCATGGGTGCAACACAATGTCTGTAACTGAACTGACTTTAAATTACAGCGACTGGGCCCCAGCTGCTGTCAAATCCCTTTTGGGAGCGCTTGGAGAGCTGCGTTCCCAAAGGAGTCTGCGTGTGCCAGCAGCAATTTCCGTGAAAAGTGAAAGTGTTTCTATTGACATGGATACAGCGATGTATCAGGGCAAGAGACAGGCCTGCTGATGAGGTGAGAGAAGGTGCAATTGCCCTGGGACCTGGCAATTCAGAGGGGGCCTGCGGAAGCAACAGCAGCAGCAGCGGCTCCGGAGCACTGGGCTGCATGCTCCAGGCAGCCCTAAGGCTTGGGGAAGGGAATGCTCCAAGCAGCGCTAAGAACTGGGAGAGGGAGGTGCACTCCAGGCAGCGCTAAGGAGTTAGGGGCTCCACAATCCAGACAACGCTAAGGCCTGGGGGGTCGGACACACTCTTAGCAGTGCTAAGGGCTGGGGGGGCAGGCCCATGCTCCAGGCCGTGGTTAGGGAGGGGGGCACACTCCAGGAGTGCCCACACTCCAGGCAGCCCTGAGGGCTGGGAGGAGGGGCATGCTCCAGTCAGTGCTAAGGGCTTCTAGGGAAGCCAAACTCAAGGCAATACTAAGGTCTGAGGGGAGGGGCATGTTGCAGCCAGTGCTAAGGGCTTGTGGGAAAGCCACACTTCAGGCAGTGCTAAGGGCTGTGGGGGGAGGGGGCAAGCTGCCTTCTACTTTTAAATTCTCAACCAGTTCCTCTCGGTTTGTTAAAATCAAGTCTAGAACTGCTTCCCTCCTAGTAGCTTTTTCAGCCTTCTGAAATAAAAAGTTGTCTCCAAGGCAGTCTAAAAACTTATTGGATAGTCTATGCCCTGCTGTGTTATTTTCCCAGCATATATCTGGATAGTTGAAGTCCCCCATCACCACCAAATCCTGCGCTTTGGATGATTTTGTTAGTTGTTTAAAAAAAGCCTCATCCACCTCTTCCACCTGGGTAGGTGACCTGTAGTAGACTCCTAGCACGACATCACTCTTGTTGTTTTACCCCTTTTAGCCTAACCCAGAGACACTTAACACGCATGTCTCCTATGTCCATCTCCACCTCAGTCCAAGTGTGTACATTTTTAATATATAAGGCAACATCTCCCCCCTTTTTCCCTACCTGTCCTTCCTGAGTAAGCTGTACCCTTCTATACCACTATTCCAATTGTGTGTATTATCCCACCAAGTCTCCGTGATGCCAACAATGTCATAGTTGTATTTATTTATTAGCACTTCCAGATCTTCCTGCTTATTACCCATGCTTCTCACATTTGTATATGGGCAACTAAGATGGTCGAAGTCCCTCATCACCACCAAATCCTATGCTTTGGATGATTTTGTGAGTTGTTTAAAAAAAGCCCCATTCACCTCTTCTGCCCCTAGCATGACATCACCCTGGTTTTTTGCCCCTTTCAGTCTAACCCAGAGACTCTCAACAATTCTGTCTCCTACGTCCATCCCCAGCTCAGTCCATATGTATATATTTTTAATATCCAAGTCAACACCCCCATCCTTTCCCCCGGCTTATCCTTTCTGAGCAAGCTGTCCCCTTCTATGCCAATATTCCAATCATGTGTATTATTCCATCAAATCTCTGTGATACCAATGATGTCATAGATGTTGTTGCTTATTAGCACTTCAAGTTCTTTCTGCTTATTTCCCATATGCCTTTATTTGTATTATTCCCCATACGCCTTGCAAATCGATTATTATGATTCCAATGACCATGACCTTGTTTTCCTGGGAAGAGGAGGAATATCCAAGACCTAAATGCTTCTCCCCATCACCTGGAAAAGATTGGAAGGCTTGAGGGTGATGACTCTCTTCCCCTGATACTTGCAGGGACTAAGTACAGCGCTCAGACTGAGACAGGAGTTGGACTGTCATCTCTGGACCCAACCCCCTGCCCAGAATGCCATAAGGCTTTGTAACCCACGTGTGCCATGGTGGTGGACTGCAAAACACCCCGGGGCAGCCTGTGGTGTTCCAGCGAGGCAAAGAAGGCTGGCAGTGCTCTCCATGCATCACAGGGCAAAAACTCAGGGGCAGAGACACGCTGGGGACAAACTAAAGGAAATTGGAGGGTTCACTTGGGAAAATGCAGGCCTATGACATCCCTGCAGGCAGCAGCTGCTGCTGCTCTCCAGCAACCCAGAATGGGGGGAGGAGCACTGTGATTGTGCTGGAGAGGGCTTTGGATATTAGGGTTGCCCTGTGTCACCCTGTGCGTTAGCAACTCATACCTAGGCTGTCACAAAATACATCGGTCCACTGAGTTTAATGCCGTCTGGCCCTACAAACATCATGAGACTTTGCATTTCACCCAGTTATCTCTGTGTGGAGCCCAAGAACTTGGGTTTGGCCAAAGCAGCTCCCAGAAAGGTCTCCGGACTGGACACGAAGACATCAAGGGATGGAGAAACCACCACTTCCCTTGGCAGTTAATCACCCGCACTGGTAGAAATGGGGCTTTCCTTCTGCTTTCAGCCTGTAGGTCATGCTCTGTTTTCCTAGCTCGATTCAACAGCCCTTCCTGTGTGGAGCCCAAGAACTTGGGTTTGGCCAAAGCAGCTCCCAGAAAGGTCTCCGGACTGGACACGAAGACATCAAGGGATGGAGAAACCACCACTTCCCTTGGCAGTTAATCACCCGCACTGGTAGAAATGGGGCTTTCCTTCTGCTTTCAGCCTGTAGGTCATGCTCTGTTTTCCTAGCTCGATTCAACAGCCCTTCTGTGGCTTCCCAGGAAGGTACTTACAGAGCTCCATCTGCTTCCTGCCTCAAAAGGGAGATTGAGAGGTGCCTGATTACAGTGTTTAAGTCTCTCCCTGTGAGGCATTTACTCCACCCCTCAAATAATTTTTGTGGCTGTTTTCTGCAGCCCCTCCAATTTCTCAACTTCCTTTTAAAATATGGACCAGACCTGGACACAGAATTCTGCTGTAATATGTAAAAATTAATAGAGGTCTGGTATGGCTGTACATTAGTGGTAGGGGTGGGGCTGAAGCAGGCATTGTTCTTTGAACATGATTTTTTCTCTTCGTCCTTGCAGCCTGAAAAGGTCCATTTACGTCTTCTGCTCCTGAGTCACCTCTTTCTTCTCTAACAAATTCAAATGTCTGTCTCACCATTTTATATACAGAGACACAGTTGCCTCCCAGCTCTGATCGGCTGGCTCCTTGTGTGCACATATTACTGTTTGTGCTACAGAATCATACTGTGTCCAACACCCGTTGAGTTGCCTAGTTCATTACGATCCCAAAATGCTTTTCAGAGTCACTGCTTTCCAGGGTATACTGCCTCAGTCCGTACTTCTGGTATGCTTGCTTTGTTCCTACATGCATAACTTTGCGTTTGGCTGCATTAAAATGCATTTTGGTTGAATGGGCCCTGGTTATCCAGCAATCCAGAATCTGTATGGCTGGCTGGCCACTCTGCCAATCTTTGTGCCAGCCACACACGTTACCAGCAGTAATTTGATATTTACTTCCTGATCCTTGATAAAAATGTCGAAAAAAGGCAGGCTTAGAACCATCCTCCAGAACCTGACTAGATACTCCTACATTCCCTATTGTGATCTGTCACATGGTTTGTTCTCAACCCATTCAACGTGGGCTTTATTGATATTGAATAGTGCTAATTTTTAAATCGGACTTCTGTAAGGCATTGACTTTATAGCACAGATATTCTATGTCTGTTCCATCTATGTTCTTACCTTTTCAGGTAACCTCCTCAAAGAATGACACCAGATTTGTCTCATGAGACCGTACAGCTATGCTGACTGGCATTAATTTCATTCCTATTGTAAGTCTTGAGCACTTGAATTCTGTACCTGGTTTTCCATTATTTTGCCTGGGATTGATGTCTGGCTAACCAACCTAGGAGATATGCCTCATCAAACTGGCCCTCGTGCATGGCCTTCTTATAGATGATATCATTGCCCCATTTGAGCCAAGCAGCTAGTCAAAGTTTGGATCCCTGGGTATGTTCCATCTGGGAGCAGCAACGGTTGATAGGCGGATATTTCTCTGCAAATAAACAAAACTGCATTAAAACCCTGTATTTCTGAATGCACAAGGAATCAAAGAGCAGGAAGAAGCATCTTTTGCTCATAGCCCCAAGTGAACATGTTTCAATATACATCCCGATCCAAAAACCTCTCTCCAGGTTTCTTTCTGGTCCAATGCTCTGCCTTCAGCTGCTCCTTCCAGCTTTCTGTCTTTCCCACTCAGTTGTTTGTTCTCATGCCAGGTCACAGTGGCTGGTGGAGTCCCTGCTCCACATGGTGCTGATTCCTGGCAGACTCTGTCAGGCCTTGTATGGAGCACTCAGGAGAGCACACCTAAAACACCTCTCAGAGGCAAGGGGCATGTTCCAGCCTAGGTTTGAACAAGGTGCGAGCTCAACCTCTGACGTGGGGTCTCCCAGCTCTGAACGTCAAGCTGGAGAACTGCTGACACTCACACTTTGGCACTAGTGCAGACCTGTGGGAACATCTTCCCTCATGCCACACACACGCAGAGGGCTTCTGCAGAGGAGAGTCACATGGCCACTTGTGGCCAGTAATACACTGGAAGTGCAAAGTGTGTTCACCATTAACACCCTCCTTTCCACACACTTCTCTTTGAAGACAGACACGCTGACAGGCTCCTGAGCTGTGTCACACAGCTGTGCAAGAGGGGTAGTGTGCAGATACAGTATCCATTCACTGAGCTTGCTTCCAAGGCATTCCTCTTGAACGGCAATCAAAGGGCAATGGCTGTTTTCTAGAGTCCCTGACTGATGCTGCCCTGATCCAAGCTGTTAGGATAGTTTGTAGTTGGACACACATTCTGGTCTCATCAGTGACCCCTTTGTGTCTGTCCCTCTGCCCTGTGTGCAGGAGAGTAGAGGCCATGCACTTTCACAAGCAAGTCACATTGCAAGGGGGTGTCTGCCGCTCTACTTCCAGAGGGAGACCGGTCCAAAGCATGACGCTGGCTGGGGCTTTGGACATGGGGAGTTTGCCATGTAGATAGGGTGACCCGGGGCCTGTGCTTTGCACAATCTCATTGCCTTCTGAAGCCAGGAATTTGGGTGTAGATTAAGCCTTGGTTTTCTATTTGCATATGGGGTTATTATGCTTAAAACTCCCATTGATCCCGACCTTTGCGTTATCACAGTTGTTTCTGGCAGGGACTTTGACTATTGCTTCATAAACCATGAATGAGAATCCCTCAGCTTTGCAGAGAAGATTTGGAAATGTCAGTATTAATGCAGCTAACTTAGGCTGCAGGTCTGTACCGTGCAGTTCCTGTGAAGACACTCTGAGCTCATAAGCTTGGTATATATCACCAGGTGTGCAGGTCACCTCCACCCTTACCAGGCAGAGAGCACCTCTTATTGCTGAGCACCTCAAACCCTTCCTACCGCAGCTGCTCTATAGCAGAGGAGCCTGCAGGGAGCTTGAGCTAAGCACATTACATGCCTCTGTGGTCTGCGCTGGCTTCCAGTGAGCTTCTGGGTAGAATTCAAGGGGGTGAATTTAACCATTAATGTCCTAAGTGATCTGGGACCTGTTTATTGAAATACACCTCTCGCCACCACAAGGCCAGCAGAGGTGTACAGGCTCTGAGGATGGATCTTCGGGTGTGAAGTCTCTCTTTCCCCTTGGGCCACAAGAGCATGGCTTTGTTGATTTTCCAAGACCACTGCTAATCCCACCTCTTCTTCAGTATTCCAGGCTATGAAGGAAGGGGGTGGAGGGAGCAAGGTCGAGCTACACATATTGAGGGGCAGACCTTTTCTGTGAGTATGATTTCAATGTATGGCATTCTAGCAATGTCAGTCAATCAGCCCATAAAGGAGCAGCCAGTCCTTTGTGGAGCTGCAGCCATTTGTGGTGAAGATCCTGGTTAGAATCGCAAAGGTTAGAGGCTCACGAGCTGGTTCCTAAAGTTATATCTCTTGGTTTTTACTTTCCTCTGGTGCAGCTAAAACCCTTGATGTCCATGCCTAGGATGGTACCAGATTTCATGAGTTTGGTGTGTATTTGGGATTTTTAAAAACCCCCAAAGGTATTTTCATCTTCTGAACTACTTTACCAGCAACTTATGTTCCTGCCTTGCTTTGTGTGGAACACTTATAGAATCTCCAAATGGCCCAACCTAGTGATTTAAATTTGTGATAAGCCAAATTTTGTGTGTCGGAGGGACTTCAAGAGCAGAGAAGAGTGAGCAGTATTTAGGAAAGTTCTATTATGAACAAGAGGTGACTTGTGACTTTCCTTTTACATTCTGTGTAACTAACCTCATTTTGGGGTAGTTCCCCTTTTTCAAGTGGAATGCTACTGTGTTAGGTTTCTCTAGAATGTCCCCCCTAAAATATTAAATTTAATTTCATGATGGTCACTATTATTGGGTGGTTCATTGATATCCACCTCTTGGACCAGATTCTGCACTCCACTTGAGAGTCAGTCAAGAGTTGTGTCCAGCTGCTCTAAAAAGCAGTCATTTAAGATATCTTGAAATTTGCTCTCTGCATCCCAGTCATTATGAGGATAACGGAAATCCCCCATTATTATTGTATTTTTTGACTAAGCAGCCTTTCTAATCTCCTTGATTATACACAGCCTTGTAAAAGGCACTTTGTTTAATATGGAGTGGACACAACTTTAATGATATCTTGGCACTGGAAAAAGTTCAGAAGAAGGCAACAAAACTGATGAGAAGTATCAGAGAGGTAATGATTAGCAGTTTGGAACAGGTCCCATATGAAGAGAGATTAAAAAGACTGGGACTTTTCACTTTAGAAAAGATTAGAATAAGGGGGAATATGATAGAGGTTTATCAAATCATGAGTGGTGTGGAGAAAGTGAGTAAGAAAAAGTTATTTACCTGTTCCCATAACCTAAGAACTAGGGGGTCACCAAATGAAAAAAATAGGTAGCAGGTTTAAAACAAACAAACAAACAAACAAACAAACAAACAAACAAACAAACAAACAAACAAACAAACAAACAAACAAACAAACAAACAAACAAACAAACAAACAAACAAACAAACAAACAAACAAACAAACAAACAAACAAACAAACAAACAAACAAACAAACAAACAAACAAACAAACAAACAAACAAACAAACAAACAAACAAACAAACAAACAAACGGAACTTTTTCTTCACACAACACACAGTTCAGCTTGTAGAACTCCTGGCCAGAGGATGTTTTGAAGACCAGGATTTTAACAGGATTCAAAACCAGAACTAGATACATTCATGGAGGTTAGGTCTGTCGATGATGTCCCTAGCTGATGAGTAAGAATGGTGTCCCTAGCCTCTGTTTGTCAGAGGCTGGGGATGGGGGGCCCTCTAGGGATGGAGATTCCACCCCCTCCCTAGGTAACCTATTCCAGGGCTTCACCCCCCTCCTAGTGAAATAGTTTTTCCTAATATCCAACCTAGACCCTAATATTCAACTTGAGACCATTGCTCCTTGTTCTGCCATCTGTCACTACTGAGAACAGCCTCTCTCCATCCTCTTTGGAACCCCCTTCAGGAAGTTGAAGGCTGCTATCAAATCCCCCCTCACTCTTCGCTTCTGCAGAATAAACAAACCCAGATCCCTCAGTCTCTCCTCATAGGTCATGCGCTCCAGCCCCCTAATCATTTTGGTTGCCCTCCACTGGACCTTCTCCAATGCGTCCACATCCTTTCTATAGTGGGGGGCCCAGAACTGGACATAATATTCCAGATGTGGCCTCACCAGAGCCAAATAAAGGGGAATAATCACATCTCTGGATCTGCTAGCAATGCTCCTCCTAATGCACCCTAATATGCCATTAGCCTTCTTGGCTACAAGGACACACTGTTGACTCATATCCAGCTTCTCATCCACAGGTCCTTTTCTGCTGAACTGCTACTTAAGCATTCAGTCCCCAGCCTGTGTCAATGCTTGGGATTCTTCCGTCCAAAGGGCAGGACTCTGCATTTGTCCTTGTTGAACCTCATCAGATTTCTTTTGGCTCAATCCTCTAATCTGTCCACATCACCCTGGACCCTATCCCTGCCCTCCAGCATATCTACCTCTCCCCTTAGCTTAGTGTCACCTGCAAACTTGCTGAGGGTGCAAACCATTCCCTTATCCACATCATTAATAAAGATGTTGAACAAAACTGGCCCAAGAACTGATCTTTGGGACACTCTGCTAGAAACCGACCGCCAACCTGACATTGAGCCATTGATCAATACCCATTGGGCCCAACAGTCTAGCCAGCTTTCTATCCATCTTACGGTCCATTTATCCAATCCATACTCCTTTAACTTGCTGGCAAGAATATTGTGGGAGATCATATCAAAAGCTTTCCTAAAATCAAAGTATATCGCATCCACTGACTTTCCCATATCCACAGATCCAGTTACCTCATTATAGAAGCTAATCAGATTGGTCAGGCACGACTTGCCCTTCGTGCATCCATGTTGACTATTCCTGATCACTTTCCCCTCTTCCAAGTGCTTAAAAATGGATTCCTTGAGGATCCCCTCCATGATTTTTCTGAGGACTGAGGTAAGGCTGACTGGTCTGTAGTTCCCTGGATTGTCCTTTTTCCCTTTTTTAAAGATGGGCACTACATTTGCCTTTTTCCCATCAGCCGGGATCTCTCCCAATGTCCACAAGTTTTCAAAGATAATGGTCAAAGACTCCTCAATGAGATTTGCCAGCTCCCTCAGTACCCTCGGATACATTAAATCCGGGCCCATGGATTTGTCTGTTTAGTTTTTCTAAATAGTTCCTTACTTGTTCTTTCCCCACCAAGGGCTGTCCACCTCCTTCCTATACTGGGTTGCCTAGTGCATTAGTCTGGGAACTGACCTTGTCAGTGACTACAGAGGCAAAGAAAGCATTGAGTACTTCAGCTTTCCCCACATCATCTGTCACTAGGTTACAGCCCTCATCCAATAGGGGCCCCACACCCTCTCTGATCAAACCTCTTATTGCTAACATGCCTGTAGAAACCTTTCTTATTATTCTTCACATTCCTTGCTAGCTGCAATTCCAATTGCG